GGACTTGATGTGAAAGCTGTTTTCCAGAATTTTCTGAGACCCGTGTCATTCGTTGTCACGTCTTTCATCTTTAATCTAATGATTTTTGAAGCCCTGAAGACCCCTTCGAGAACTGCAATTTTTCGTGAGAGAAACGCATGTTGAGCGTTTTGGGAATATCTGAAAAAGCGATAGGAAATGTATTACGTAATTCTCAGTGTTTCAGGACAATTTTTTCAATTTCCACCAGTTTAAACGTGGCAAAGGTAACTTATGAGTCTGATTGTAATTTAAATATTTAACTACTTTACCTTCAATTGATTGTGCCCGCATTGTATCCATTAGAAGGAAATTAAGTTGCTCAAAGTACTGTAGAATTAATTGGGTGCCTCATTTCCTTCATTTTAAAAATTACGATGTGGGCAAAGTACTGTACTGTACTGCCGATGGAATGCATGATAAATGGATAGAAGCCCCAATGATTGAATTACTGTATTCAAACTTATCTTTCGCAGCATTACCAAATATCTGTCGGAAATGAAGTGGCCTGCATCTTGGTAATTTGAACGAGCCCATTTCCCTTTGATCAGCCTGAACTTCATGTGTAAATTCTTGTTAAGTTAAGATATGCAAATAAATTGAGCAAGCTTTTGGAATTTTGGAATATTTGATTTTTCATTGTTGCATGTTCGTGGAATTAATATTTTGATGATCATTGTAATGAGTTGAATTAATTGAGATAATTACTTCAAGATCTGCGGGAATATCTGTAAGATGGTGTCATTTCAAGCCATCCTTGGTTCTTTTTTTACTGTGTTGCTGAAAAACTCGTGAACATTTTTTTTATGCGTGATGCAGATGACCCTTGATAACTTGAGATCCCCTTCGTCGATTTTTTTTGAAGTCCCTCTCTGATTTTCCTTACAAACCTCCTTAACTGGAGTGCTTTCCTCCTCAAATCTACATAACTCGAAATTTCTGGAAGCCTTCCGGCTTTCTTTTTATAAAGGAAAGAGGAAAGCAATAAAAATGCAACTTCATATTCTTTGAAATGATTAAAATACTTTTTGGGAAAATGAACCTTTTCCTCCAAGTTCAGCATCCTGTTAACTCATTTAAGAAGCAATTTAAGGCCCAGAATGTAACCAATTATAATTTCCTGCAATTCTTCTCTTTCCCATCAATACAAAATTACAAATGCTTGCTTGCCTAACTCGAAACCTCTCGAACTCGGATTTTTTTTGGTCCCTTGAAATTCGACTTTTGGATATCCGACTGTATTTAATGACAAACTCGATAATCATTAGGCGAATTAATTGGATTGCTATGATACATTTGTTCCTCCTTGTCTTCAAACATGAAATCCTGTAAGAATTGTAAACACCACTGAGCTGGTTGCTAGACTCGCTCTTGAACAAGCGAGAAACCCTTTGGATGAACCTTTTGAACCGACGGAAGGTTTTGTTCTCATCTGAAGTGATCTTCATGCATGTTGTCACCAAGTATCCTCGAAAGCATACTCGTAGCCCTCGACTTTCCCCATCAAAAGTTCAATGTTTGAAAACTTATGATGAAGGACTTGTTCGGTATTGTACTGAAATTTATTCCGCTGCGCATGTATAAGCATCAGGAACAGGCGCATGGCGTCAGAAAACTCAATTCAAGTCACGCTCATTCGTTTGCTTCAACGTGGAAGATTGTTCGGATTTTGAGCTGATTATCTTTTTTGACGAAATTAACATGGAATGTTCGACGCAGTTCATCGATGTAGCTTCATGTGACTGCTAATGTGTGTTGGGAAGCATTTGGGATTATGATGATGCGCTGCACACATTTTCATTAATCCACTAATCTGTTTGCCATCACAAAACCACAAAAAAAGCCATCAAAGTCGAATCACCGCGATGCTGATTATTCAGGAATTCGTGCGTAGCTGTGAACCTAGAACAACTTGAGGATGTAATCCATGTCAGCTCGTGATATGTTGGCTATTTAAGCGTGGGTACTGAGAAAGACAAATAGCTGCTTGCTGCCACATCACATCAGTGTCTATATACCCGGATTTTCCTTGAGATTTATCATTCCTAGGGCAGGTCGAAAATGCTGAAAAATTGATAATATTCGATAAATTATGGGAACAGTAGAAGCTCTCCACAAGAGTACTGGTCTGCATCCGCTTGGAGGGATGAAAGTCCGCTGATTATTTTATCGAAAAGACCCTTGCCCGAAAGGCAATATACGTAGTGATGTGAATGTGTTTGGCTGAAACTCGAAAAATAGAAGTTCGGATTTCATTCTGAATGAACTTCCGCTTTGTTTCCTACGTTGAATTATTATATCCACCGCCAGCTAGCATGCCTTAATTTTTTGTGAAAGAACAATGCTACAATAGCAGATTCCGTGTCTGAGAGCAGTTTTCCTACCCAAAGCTGGATAGTTTCTGACGATTTGCTGTCGTATCGTAAAAAAGAAGAGCGCAAAACTGATGTACGATAGGAACACTAATGTTTTTTTAGTCTCCAACCTATGCACCACGTCTCCGTGAGGATGAAGTTTCCTTCTTCGAATAATTAGCCAATTTAAGAGCTTTCTACTGCGAGTTGAAGCTGTTCTGAAACGTAGGGAATAAATCTTCCTGCAATTCTCTGAAATACTGTATACTATTCCTAATTTTCCTCTCCGAAAAAAAACTTCCGTTCCGTCGCTAATGAACACGATCTTTTACTTGTCAAGCGCGTAAGGCACCAGGAAAAGATTTACATGTCTTAATGCTTCAACTGCTATTTTTTCTACATTTTGAATGATGGTTAAAACAGAAACAAAAATTCAACTTTCTAGTAGGCCTGACAAATTTTAGCACCCTTTGACATATGTGGAAAACTCTGGCTGTAACTGGAAAGTTTTCACTGATCATGCGTTAAATTGAAAATGATTGTCTCTTGGAAAAATCCAAGAACCTTGGGACATCATGGGCTGTGTCACGAATTATTTTATTTTTACAATAATGACTACTCTTAGACATATCGGGGCTTGCGTTTAACCGGGACAACCCTCGTGTTCCTTATTTTGCAAATGCGCTTCAAAGTCCTTACTGTGCAGTAATATCTCGCGATGCTAATCCACCGCATTTCTTGCGATCGCGAGGAAAATCGTCCCAGGATTCTGCCTCCGGTGATGAGATTATTCTGCGTATTACGAGAGCTTCCTGATTTCGTTATTGTCCTGCTGTGTATCTTAGGGCTATGTGGTGGAGTTGATGCTGACTTTGGAAGCAATTGTGGACAGCCTGGATGCCGCTGAAGATCGACTGGAGTGGCAGGCACCTCCGGGTCCACAAACATCACTTTCGGTCAAGGACGAAAGCAGCAAACCCCCTGTGGGTGCACACGGGTTGACTTCTCGGTCTCGTGCAACGTCTGCAATTACGTCGTCTGCTAGTGCGGGGCAAAATGCTGGCAATCACGTGCGCTCCACCAGCTATTCCGTTTCCTACAGCTCAAAAAAGCCTGCACCCGGTTCACCAACTTGCGAACACAGAGGTATTGTACTGCATTACTAAACATTATCTACTAGAGGTGAAATGTTTTTAATTTTTAAAAAATCATGACGAAAGCTTTAGAAAATGATTGCTATTGCACAGTATTTTTTGGAGTACCCCGATCCCATTTTTCTCAAATTTCAACGAAGAAACTGGGGGTGCTCGTCATAGCCTCAGAGGCGAGAATACATTTTTTTTTATTTTTTGAAGTTTAGGTGGGCATCGTCACACTTGAATATGAGGGAAATTTTGGACGGGAATTTCTAAAGATCGAAATAATTCAAAATTAATCGAATTGAGGTTGAATTTATGTCCAAGTTTGAATTCTCGTATGTCATATTTTTTAATATTGCATTTTTAAATGCTGAAAATGTGGTGCGCGTTTTACTCGGTGATAGGATTGCATCAACGTTTTAGGGTGGAAAACTGGGGTGCATGTCTTACTCGAGGGTGCGTGATATTCGAGTATAAATGCGGTACTTTTTTTTCGTATTAAGATGTCAGGACCAGAGGTTCAGCGGAGGGAGTTGAACCAGGACGAGTCGGCGTGAGAGGCTTTTCACAAGCGAATTCAGCTCCGGGATCCTCTGCCACGAATTTGTCTCGGTCGCGATCCGCACAGTCTTTGAGAGCAATAGGAGCTGGATTTGATGCCACTTCTTCGCAAGAAGATAAACTGACGATCATGGCTCAGCTCTTTTGCATTGCAATTTCCTTGTTGGAGTCTGATTACGAGCACGAGTTCCTTCTCGCTTTGAGACTTATTGACAAGGTACTGCATTCATTCCGTCTTTCGAAATTATGATTCTAGATGTGCGTTGTTTTCGTGTGAAGTGAAATATCGTCTTAAGCTGGAAAACAGAGTACAGTACAATTTCAAAAGCATAATGAGAGGAAAAACACGTTCGAATAATTCTCCGATTTTCACTGTTATTTAGCTAATGGATGCAAAAATCCCGAAAAGTAACCTTGGCGTGGAAGCGTTCAATCTCATGATTCTGCCCTGCGTAACTCCCGACGTTTTGACGGAAGTTTTACAAATTTTGGACTTCTTGGCGCAACTGAGCACCTTCAAAATTGAATAACATTGTTTACAGTGATGCCCGAGTATGTTTTAAGAGGTTCACAGAAACTTGAGTAAAATATTTTTTTTTTGTATTCAGATTATTTTGTACAGGTAAGCCGTACGTCTTTTTCCGACTTCGTTGAAAAACTAGATTGACAGCCCTCAAATTTTCCAAACTATTTCGCGCGTCGAGCAGTTGTTTTACTTTTAATTCCGGTGGTGTGTCATCAGTATTCCACTACTGAAAATCTGTTTTCTTCGAAGGTTTCTGAACGATTCGACTTGGAGAAGCCGGAATGCCGAGACCGAGTTGATAGACTCATTAGGCAAATGAGGTGGCCTTCGTTTCCCGGCGTGCATTCCTTGTTGCTGAAGGGATTGACGAATCCGTCAACCTATGAGCAATCTTTGCGCATGATTTCTCAAATGACGACCGCCTTGGATTTGCATGTGATTGATCCATCGCAAACAGTGGCATTTCCACTGAACGTCGTAGCTTTGTTGCCTTACATGCTGCATCACTATGAGGATGCAAATGAGCTTTGCGTTAGAAGTGCTGACAAAATTGCAGAGGTTAGTGCTGTTGCATTCTCTTGTCATTATTCATGCATTTCCAACAATTTAAGGCGGGAATCTCTGCGAGAGCTCGCAAATTATTTATCCAGTGACATCCGCTGCACAATCAATTTTAAATTAATTTTGAAAAACGTCTATCAAGATTCTGACTTTTTGAAAGTTATATTTTGCTCAGTTAACGAATTTTTCTGCAGTGAATGTGGTATAGAAAAAAACATATGCAGTTGCATTTTTTTCGTGACCCGTGCGATTGTTTTGAAACTGATGATTTATTTTTTTAAAGCTTCGAATAAAAATCAATGGTCTTTTCACGGACAAGAAACTCTTCGAACGAAACTCATGTTGAATATTTTCAGTGCGACCGAGAATTTTCTTCAACTCTGCACATTTTCGAACATTAACCCGTTCTTTTTTATNGTTTTCAAGATCTGTACGGAGAAAAGTGCGAAGCTGGAAAATTTGGCTACTGTGATGACGCTGTACAGCCGGCGAACGTTCAGCAAGGAAAGTTTCCAGTGGACGAAATGTGTCGTGAAATATCTTCACGATGCTTATTCTCATCTTTCCCCAACGATCATATCATTCCTTGTTGAGGTTTGTGGAAATTTACGATATTTCATTCATTTTTATTTTCACCGTTGCATGTATTGCGGAGGGTGTCAGTGTTTCACTTAATCACTGAATCTTGGGTTTTGCTTTGATTCGATAGGTTTTAGATCATGGTCCGTTGCTGGTCCACGCTCCGATTTTATCCATCCTACACTGCCTGCTGCATTATGTGGACATTCATGCGCAAAAGAGTCAAATATTGAATATTGATTTGCTGCGACCGGTTGCGAAGTTTCTGGAGGTTTGTGGTCATATTCCTGAGTTCTGATAATAAATTTTGGAATCTTCGGCTTACTGCTTCAGTGTTAGTGTATATCACTCGACTATTCATCAAACAAGAAATGAAACTGAATCAAGATTTCATCTTTTGTTTATATTGATTTGATTCTGACGAGACCAGCGCGGATTGCTTCCTGCTGTCGTATAATGCTGAATCGTTGCTCCGATTTTTTCAGAGCAATAACTGGAAGGAAGCTCTGAAAATTCTGCGATTGGTCGTGACGCGGTCATCGTCCTTGGTTGTTCCACCATCTCATCAACTTCAGTCGCAGTCCTCTTCTTGGGGTTTCATGCCTTCATCGAACTCCCTTGGGTTCACGATACCAAACGTGCACCGATCGAATTACACCGAGGGATCGTCGGCGTATAAGAAGGAACTTCCTGGTCGTACCATGGAATTTTCCTTCGATATGAGTCTGACGCCGATTATCGCCAAAAAATTCCCTGCAGTCGTGAGTATCTTCGTTTGGAATGCCAGTGTGATGAATTCACTTGAATATAAACTGGTTATGGCATTATATCACTAAATATTTGGTTTTTGTTGTCTCCGAAGGGTCGAATGACGTCGTTGATCGTGTTGCTTTTTTCCTTACTGAATTTATCTTGGGGTAATTGAAAACTATAATCATATTCCGATGATCACTACCTCATTTCTTGTGATGAACGACGTTTCGTTTGCTGATATACTGCATTACTAAATTCTAACTCGTCCCGCCCATAGACGCACTGAATAACCGGTTTTGAATTTATTTTTAGACGAATTATTCAAGCACCAACAAATTATGGTTGTTGCAATGATAGCATAGGAACTGCAATTTCTCCTAAGTTTCGTAGAAAATTGCAGCACAATATTAAAAAAATCTTTTTTTTTATTTCCTTGCAGCGCTCACATATTTCTTGATCTCTTCAAGTTCCGTAGAGTGAGACCGTTAGAATAGCGCAGTTGCCGGAAACATTTTGTCAACATCGTATACTTTCTTAATTAATCATATGTTGACGTTTTTTGCAGCCTTCGTCGAGTGGACCTCCTCCTTACAGTCTTAAGGACCCGATTGATGCGAATGGCGATAGAACCAAGCACAAACGCGAAGATGGGTCCTTAACCCCGAAAAGATCCCCCTCGCAAACTGCGACAGATTCAGTTATTGTCCCTGGCTGGAAACGACCGTACATGTCACAGGTGATATATTGCAGGACATTGTCTCAGCAATGACGTCTCAGCCAGTTTTCATATTTTTTCTGTGCCTTTTGCAGGCACGAACGAGGGAGAAGTTGGTGAATTTGCTGACATCTTGCGGCCAACGCATCGGACTTCCAAAAAGCCCTTCGGTAAGTTGTAGGGAGATAGTGCGCCGGAGCTGATTGAATTTCCTATGGTGAAACTAACGTATTTACGTGAAAATAAGACGCACGTTTTCTTGATTTTTACTCACAAAAAATCAAGATTAGATTAGAGTCAATGGCGTCTTAACCGTGCATGTAAAAGACTAGTTTTTGAGGTGGTCCGAAAATATGGGCACTCGTTCAAAGGATTGATACCTCAGGAGCAACTTATTGAAACATTTTACTTTCAATCAGAATGCTTTTATAGTTCGACCCTGAAAAACTAGGCGTAAGGTACCTATAATCCGAAATGGAAATCTGATAAAGCTACTGGCAACTTTTTTTAAAACAGATTTTCAGAGTAGCATCGTAGCATTTGTATCGATTGCAGGCTTAATCGTGTGGGTCATGATGTCCTGTTTCTTATTGCAGTGCATTTAGTTCGAGGATACATTTCTATCCGTGACTTTATCTATGAAAATTGTAAATACTCTCTATACTGAGACGTTTCTGCAAAATATAATGAGGCAAGTGCTGACAGTGCGCGTTACAGATTCGCCAGCAAATTTTGTTAGCGATTTTGAGGAGGTGGAATCAAAAGATAGGTGTCAAAATTACTGGCGTCATCTATTTGAGTGAATACGGTGGCGGTCATTCATAAAATGTTTTACACAAAAAATGTCTTCGAGATTTAAGGTACTACAGTACACCATTACAATGATGATAATTTAATGCCGGTGAAGTTCATTTTTGTGTACAGTATAATTTATGGATGTTTCCCTATAGTTTTCCACTCACTAAACCAACGCTTCATCGTGTTATTCTTTACCTGGTGGATAATGTCCTAACCGCTTTACTAATCTGTTGTATTGCTTATTGTTCATCCCAATATGGTGGACTTACCTGCCAATGCATGTGACGGGAATCAGGATGGCAGGCTGGACAAGGTATAAGCAAATTTCATTTAAGAATTTGCTTTGTCGCTTTGAAAGAGAAGAAATGGCTGTGTAGATTCTGTCAATGTGAATTTGCATCCTGGCTTCTTGGAAATCATTATGCACTCGTCACCGCCCAGAGTTTTTTCATTTGTATTTATGAAACGTCGTAACATCCACCGATATTTATTTGTCGTAGTTTGCGTTGTGGTTATCTATTTCTTCCTTTTTATTTTTGAGAGAATTGAATGAAAATGGTTTTTTGCTGATTTTCCTCCTCTAGGTGATCTTCAGTCAAACCTCGGAGGTGATCGAGCATCCCATGAGCAGCATGGCCTCATCCATGGAAGAGGTGTCTCCGCACGATGGTTCCATTGGTGGCGGTGGAGGTGGTCGTGATGGCGCCGCTAGTTCCGATGGAAAGCTGGGTGAAGAGTCTAGCTCAGATGCGCAGTTCACCGTTTTCAAGGACTTCGATTTTCTTGAAAATGAAGAAAGCGGAGTGAGTTCAGCATTCGATTTTCTGCAAAGGGGCCATAGGTCTGGTTGGAAAGCGTTTAATTTTCAATCTAAAACTACTTCTCTTCGTGATGCAGTAATCAGAATCTGGAATTTCCATGTACGACGCGTAATTATTTCTCAACCGTACGATGTAGTTTTTGGAAGATGCAAAAAGTGATGTTCAGTTCTTTCTTACAGTCCTAAGAATCGCACGACATAAGTGCAGTATCAAATTATAGATGCACAAAATTACATTGTAACTTTTCATTCAATACGTGTTCAAGCTTCTATTAATACTATGTAAAATGTCCGCTGGGGAAGTTGGTATTTAATGTTCATCGTGTGGATGATTCAATTCTACTGCAGTTCAGTATTGTATTTTCTTCTAATTTTTAAACTTGAAATCTCCGATTTTATTTTATGGATGTAGTTTGATCTTGGAGAATAAACCTATATAAACTGACTGACAGATTTTTCGGTTTGTGCAACCAAGCTATATACGGAGTACCTGTAAAAATTTAACGTATGAGTATTTTAAAATTATTCTCGATACAGTTGGACTCTCTCTACGACGAAATTCAAGAAACCGTAAAAAAAATTAAAACATAACTTGAGGAGAGATCCCTTTGGGACCAAAGAAAAATCGGTTTTCTAGAGAAAATCATTATAGACAAGATCGTTGTAAAGAGTGTCCATATGTATTAGTATAATGAAACCCGATTTCCCGCAAGAGCGGTTGAATCTCTTATTTTCTTTATTAGTTGGGAGTCATTTTTCATTGTGTTAAAAGTCTGCATTAAATCCCCTCAGTTTAGATGATTGCACACCACTTTGATTTATATAATTTCGTTCGATATGAGTCGGTTTCTCGTCATCTTCAGCGAGTTAATTTTTTGCTTCAGGGCGAAAGCGAGGACAACTTCAATTGGGGCGTGAAGCGCAGCACGTTGGATCTTCGGGGCGGTGCGTCGGGTTCGTTGGGTGATCCGAAGGAAACTCCGCCTACATCAGAACGGTCATCGCAGCCGAATTCCGAAAGCGTCCTTCAGCCGCACTCTGTTGCGAGTGACGATGTGGTGACTGCGCATGCCCGCGGCGCCGGTTCCGGTGCCAGCGCCGCCACGGCAGATGGTCGTGATGGCGCCGCTAGTTCCGATGGAAAGCTGGGTGAAGAGTCTAGCTCAGATGCGCAGTTCACCGTTTTCAAGGACTTCGATTTTCTTGAAAATGAAGAAAGCGGAGTGAGTTCAGCATTCAATTTTCTACGAAGGGGCCGTAGGTCTGGTTGGAAAGCGTTTAAGTTTCAATCTAAAACTACTTCTCGTCGTGATGCAGAAATCATAATCTGGAATTTCCTTGTACGACGCGTAATGAATGTTCAATCATTTCTCAACCGTATGGTGTAGTTTTTGGAAGATGCAAAAAGTGATGTTCTGTTCTTTCTTAAAGTCCTAAGAATCGCACGACGTAAGTGCAGTATCAAATGATAGATGCACAAAATTACACAGTAACTTTTCATTCAATACGTGTTTAGTCTTCTATTAATACTGTGTAAAATTTCCGCTGAGGAAATTTGTATATAATGTTCATCGTGTGGATGATTCAATTCTACTGCAGTTCAGTATTGTATTTTCTTCTAATTTTTAAACTTAAAAATCTTCGATTTTATTTTATGGGTGTAGTTTGATCTTGGAGAATAAAACCTACTTAAACTGACTGACAGATTTTTCGGTTTGTGCAACCAAGCTATATATAGAGTACCTTTAAAAAGTTAACGTATGAGTATTTTAAAATTATTCTTGATACAGTTGGACTCTCTCTACGACGAAATTCAAGAAACCGTAAAAAAAATTAACACATAACTTGAGGATAGATCCCTTTGAAAACAAAACAAAAAAATTGTTTTCTAGAAAAATCGTTATAGACAAGATCGTTGTAAAGAGTGTCCATCTGTATTAGTATAATGAAACCTGATTTCCCGCAAGAGCAGTTGAATCTCTTATTTTCTTTATTAGTTGGGAGTCATTTTTCATTGTGTTAAAAGTCTGCCTTAAATCCCCTCAGTTTAGATGATTGCACACCACGTTGATTTATATAATTTCGCTTGATATGAAGTCGGTTTCTCGTTATATTCAGCGAGTTAATTTTTTTGCTCCAGGGCGAAAGCGAGGACAACTTCAATTGGGGCGTGAAGCGCAGTACGTTGGATCTTCGGGGCGGTGCGTCGGGTTCGTTGGGTGATCCGAAGGAAACTCCCCCTACATCAGAACGGTCATCGCAGCCGAATTCCGAAAGCGTCCTTCAGCCGCACTCTGTTGCGAGTGACGATGTGGTGACTGCGCATGCCCGCGGCGCCGGTTCCGGTGCCAGCGCCGCCACGGCAGCCGATGATTATCCATCTTCGGAGGAAGAAACCGGGGGCTCAGTATCGCCTTTGGAACACTTGTCCAGGTAGAACCATTTGCACCCTTCGGAAGTGATTCCTTGTATGCGTGTACAGTTCGTTTGCCGAAAAATCGTCGTAGATGTTGCCGTGTTATTTTTACTTTATCGCACGACCTGAATTTCGTAGTCAAGAGAGATGTCGTTTGAACGATTGACCTGGCCGTGAATAGCACACGCAGACCTGAACTAATTAACACGATGGTTTTTTCCTTCGTGATCTCGGGCAGAGCTTTGAAAGCTCTTTCTGTACTTCCCAGCATCTCTGTCAGTGCTGAGGCTTTTGTTTTGCAGTCCCATTACGTAAACTGAAATAAATAAAAATCTAACTACTGTATCATGAAAAAATGCGCAACATGATTAGGTACATAGTGTGGTATTGTGCAATGATTCCCAAAGAAGAAATAATGAGCAAGGACGACTTTGAACGTTGCTTGAACCGTCCGATGCTGTGTAGAAAATTTTACGTCACGATGCCATGAACTTGTAATTTCATCGTAGGGGCTCCCTCATAAAATTGGAGAAAAAGTTCTGCTGCAGATTGATCATCAAAAGCGAACCGAGAGTCGAGAAGGTCGGAACCATCGACCTGATTTGTCTTGCTCACGCAAAACGAAATTACAAAAAACCTTGGTGATCCCGCGTGTCAATGACAAATAAATTAAACAGCCAGGGGCAAATGGTGTACAGTGTACAATGAAGGGAACCGCGATCAAGTTAAGAGGGTCATCATCGCAATTAAACCAGCCCGAGTTATTTATGACGTACTGTACTGTAGTTTCGAATGGAGTGTATTTCAGTTCCCATTATTTCGTATTGTTTCTTGCGGTATTCTAAAATAACTTGAATAGAATTTTTGCTTTTAAAATATCCCTTTGAAAATATAATTTTGATGTTTTCTTTTATGAAATGAAGATTGAGTGAAGGGGGAGGAAGAAGGAGCAGAGTAGGAGCGACACCAACTGGACCCACAGGAAAAGCCAGTACCAGCAAACCTCCGCCATCCAGTTTAGTAATTGGTCACGGGAGGAGAAGGCGGCGGCAATCGCAGGATTCAGATTCGTCATATGTGTAAGTAAAGATATATCTCGTTTTGAATCTCAGAAACTCGCGAATATATTAATGTGCTTTCCACTCGAAAAAAATTACGTTGAATTGAATGATGAATTTCCTGCATTCCTTGAATTACTCACAGGCACAGCAGCAGTGATGGTGACGCAGGCGACCTGACGCCATGCAACGCGTCACCTTGTCTTTCCTCCATCCTCTCGCCTCACGTGCAGGCGGAAGGAGCGCCTCCACCGCCGCCATTGTCAATGTCCACATCTTCGGCGTCCGAAAATCTATCTGTCGTTGTTCCACCTACAGCGAGCATGAAGGCGAGTCCTGAAAGTGGCGGGAAATCTTCCGTTGAGGTAAAGTGTTCTCGGGCGGCCGTTTTCAAAACTTGTGTATGTTTTTCATTGTTTGATGATTTTTTTTCTGGTCATCAGTTGATAGAACCGAAACAGCCAGAGCCTGAATTACTTGGTGACACTCCGATGAGACACCAGCAATGGGTTGAGAGTGAGTGGAGAAACCTGGTCACTTCGCTGACGATTCCGATGGCTTCCAGGGATTTCCAAGCCAAGCCCGTTTTGATTGCGGCAACTCCCCTGAGATTTACTCAGCTGTATAAGGTTCATATACAGTATTATGAAGGGGCCCGAATGTTGAACATAGCTTAATTATAGATGTAATTTTGCAGAGTTTGGGAGTCGGTCTTGGAAGCCTTGTACAAATGGCCTGTGATTTATTGGCGAGCGAATCTCCGGACCCGTGGCTGAGTCCCTTGTTAATTCAGTTGGGGAATTTAAGCCACACGCTGACGCATACGCATCCTCCATTCCTTTGGCTAGATTCTTGGTCTGTGTCTTCTAATGCGCCGGCTTCTGTCTTGGACATGGCGAAGTTCAACGTTTTGGAGATTCATGAACATTTTGAAACGTTTCTTGACAAACGCGAACACGCGATCGAGGTGAGATTCAAGCTTTAGAAACTGATGGATTTTTGTTTTACCCAAAAAATTACGCTGATCGTTGATTATTTTATGCTCTAAAGAAGAAGTGACTCGATTCTAGTTCCTTTTTAGAGTTCTTGATGTAGAAAAATGGAAATGCTCTTGATAAAAAAAATAATAATTACGACAGAGTTCACGTAATCTCAAATGAGGCTTAGTTTTTCTGAATCTCTTATTTGCACTTTAGACTTCGAGAGAACTCGTTCACAAAGTTGGTAAGAAAATTTCTGTAAATTCACGAGTGTTGTTATTGTTGTATCATATGTTCCCGTTCATTTTAACGCATGTAATTACATTATTTCTAGTCCTGATAGTTCCTCATTTTCTCTCTGGTATTGTAATGAAGGAGCCAAATGAATTTTTATCGGTGTCACAATTGAACTTCCAATCAATGAATACTTCTTTTTCTGCTGCAGTGTCTGGAAGGGGTTCGAAGTAGTTTGAAGCTTCAAGCTCTTGGCGAGGAACCGCAAATTCCAGGAGCTTATTTGATTTACATGCAAGATCACCAGATGGATCTTAGCAAAGCTGTCAACCGCTTGGGATTTCAACTCGTCTCTATTTGGGATTCATTCACCAAGCTAATTGCATCATTATATCCGTACTTGGTCCCAAATGTGAGTTCCGTTTGTGTGCTACAAGCGCATCAAATTCTTGATGTCAAAGGATGTCCAGAAAATTACCGAGCAGCGAAAGTCAGCATTTTTATTGATTTCCAATTCTTGAATGAGCTTATTCCCCTAGAAAAGGGAATCAAATCTTTTTGTTTGGTGCGTCGATAACGGATGGCAATGAGACTTGTTTAAAGCAAAAAATTATCAGAAGAACTTATTTAAAAAAAAATTATCTTGATAGTTCAAATCCCGTCGAATCTTGAATGCTATCGTAACGATGTTGAAGCGCATGCTGTGGCCACCTGTAGGATCCCAAAAAATTATGGGCTTTGACTTCGTGTAAAATCAGAATCCCCGGCCGTGCTGCCAACCACGCTAGAAAAATTCCTCTTTTTCATGCATTAATCAAAAAATACTTATATCTGAATTTAAAATATCTGAAGGTGCAGCATCCTGTGCATGGAAGCGCTGTGTAATGGTGTCCTTGTGTGGACCTTCCTTCGCAAAAATAGGGGTATATTTTGGAATAATATACCTCCCTAACTTGTGCGTTTTTTTGTTGTTTAAAAAAAGTCACAGCATCGTAAACCCTGCTACGTTTTCTTCAAGCAGCGCTTTACACGCGTCGCTACCTTCGACGCCTTAGGCCTCATCCCAAAGGCCTAAAACTGACCTGCCTGCTTCCCTTCGCCTCGGAACAAAGAGCCTCGGATGCGGAGTGCTCTGAATCTGAGGCTGAGCAAGCAGTCCTCACGTCCCGACGTCATCAGGAAGGAGCAATTGGGGAAGATTCCCTCGGGGATTTGCTGTTGAGAAAGCAGTGGAAGAAGGCTTGGGACGAGTTCAAGTTGCATAGGTGAGGATGAACGGATTTTCGGTGTGATTTTTGGTGCTGCTTGAATCGGATCAAGGGCCCCCCTGGAAGACGTTTTCTTTTCATTGCTCACACTTGCGTCAAATCGTTTGTTTGTTTGTGAAAGGGTCTTCCCTTTTGTAAAGTGGAATGGTTTTCTAGAGCATTCTTGCATTTTTGAGGTGAATATAATGACGGTTTGTCTTTTCGTTTACAGATCCGTGTTCTCCGTGGAACTGAACAACATGGCCGATGACATGATGGCTATTTTACACATCTATTGCAAGGCGTACTCAACAAAATATAGAGGTACAAAAGAAGCAACTCTCCGTTTTTACTGGTATCGCTTGGTCTGTCTCCTTCCCCGCATTTACCAGTCGTGACCAAGCATTTTTAAATTGAAACTGTACCGTCTTGTAGCTTTCATTCAGGAGTCCAGGCAGATTTCTCACATGCATAATCATGCATTTGTCGCAAAATGATTTTTTTCTTTTGCACGAACAGTATTCATCTTTTGGAGTAATAAAAATTAATGAATGTGGTTTTCTGAGGATGTATTTTGAGTTGTAAAATTTTTTTTACCTTGTGAACGCTAACAAGTCGCAAATAAAGCTTGCATCTTAATCAATGTACTGCATCATATAGTTCACTGGACGAATTGAAGGAAGTTGAACTCTGCAGGATCATCAGAAGTATTGATACATTTTTCTGAAACCTTCATCTATCTGTATTTATTCATCTATTGATTTTTTAGTGCACGCATCATGTGTCTATATTCAGAGTGAAAGACAAAACTAAAATTATCAAGGCGGTATATTGCAAGTATTCCAGTAGTCAGCAGCAGTCGATGCAGTTAATTTTCTGAAATGCTCACTTTTGAATTGGCGTGCGAGAAAAAATTCAGCGGGTGTTCGCGTAAATCCGTTGTACACTATGAGTCGTGTGTTATCTGAGGATGGATTGATGCCGTTTTAAATTGCATTATGCATTACGAAGAGGCTGTAGTTCAGAGTTTCTGACTCACGTTCATCGCGTATGTTGCTTACAGGGTTATTCTGCTTGCCGGCTGATCTGATAGCCCTTCAGGAGACCATCAGTCCGCTGAAGGAATCTCTGATGCATTTGATGACATCGCTGCGTCAGGCGGAGCATAATGTGGCCAGCAGTGCCGTCTCTACATCAAGCAAGGACTCCATGCAACGGTCGTACTGCTGATTTGGCGAATGCTTTACTGATTATTTGATGATGATTGGGACTCGTACATAATCGAGCTTATGTCTGTCATCCCACATTGGTATTCCGATTGAATGTGTTGCCTGTATTGATTAATGTCGATGGAAAGCGTTTTTATGAGTAGCTTTTTGTTTGATGCTTTCGGAATCTGAGTTCAATGTGATAAAAATACAGAATGTATGTGGCTGGAAAAAATGTTTTCATGCATCATTTGATTCAATGACGTCTGACAAACAAGTGGAAGTGAAACTCTGTTGATCTCCGGTGTGAACTGCTTTTTGTGCATTACGTCATCTGAGTTTTATAATTTTTCTCTTGGTAAGCGTGCAATGCATCTGCATGTTGCGTCTCTTTTCAAGACTTGAAAGATGTTGATATCGTTCTTCCGTTACGTGAATAAAAAAAGTGTCATTCTTGACGAAGAATCATCAGTAAAGATACAGTATAAAATGCAGAAGTACAAGTTCTTCTGCCGATGCGACGGAATTTGCTCAGAAAAAGCACTCAGATTATTAGCCTCGATTGATGTATCTGTGTTGCAGAAAAGTTGACATTCTTCGCAGTCCCGAAGCAGCAGCATACGCGTTACCTGAAATACTTGGGCTCCTCGCAGGCTAATTATTTTAGGCATAAAAACGTTCTGTATATTGTATTGTATATACAATAATTATATTAATCATTGTCTTCGAAGACTGTTCATTTCGAGCATCACTTGTAGCTATGTCATTCTGATTGGCACCTGCTTGGATTTTCCCAATCAACCTCGAAAATCCTCGTGAATGCATTCCGGGTTTCTATAATGATGAAGGAAACAAATAAGTTTTCGGATTTCAATTGATTTTCGTCTAGGTTCTCGACTTCGCATCTCACGTGACGAATGAGTTGAAGTCAAGAGTTCGTCTCAGTTCTCGTTTCCGTTGTATTAAGATATGACTAGGAAACACGTTGATACTGTACTGTGTTTCCAAATGAAATTCCATTGTTTCCTTTGAGGGGTGCAAAAATTTTGAATCAGCAAGCGATATTCAAAAATCAGTCACGCGCCGAAATTATTTTCGAGCGAGCGGAAGTTGTGCTGCTATAATTATAGTAAATTACAGTTCTCGGCCGGAAACTATTCCTTTGAAAATTTTTTTAATGTTCTGGAAAATTTCCTCTCGGATGATAAAAATACGACGATTGCATCGTATGTACAGGATCCATGTTTAGCTCTGCAGTTTTCTGAGAATCTCAGCGAACTCGTTCCATGTTTCTACTGTTTCGAAACTCAGTTCGATATATTCTCGGCGTAATACTGTACATATATACCCGACTTCGTGTTGTGTGATCTTTTTGTGGAAATCATTGAAAAAGTTGGCGAGGTTGAAGGTCCAAAAATTAATTTTTTTCCATTTACGAAGGGATAGCTTTATTTCCAGATATAATCGTGACTGTGATGAAATATTTCATCAAGCCCGATTCGGAAGTTCTTCGTCGTGGGCGATGAAAATAAGGTGCAATATGAGGGACAATAACTGCAGCAGTCGCGTGGATTGCACAACAATCGAGTCGATGACCGTCGTTCATCTGCTTCATAAAAGTAATTATGTATTCATTTTCTGCCCTGAACGAAATGAGGTTAAATTCTACATAACTTTGTCAATAATTGAGCAAAATTTCATTCACTTGCCTTGCGAAAAAAAAGAATGCTGGGAATGTAAAAAAAACATGCGAATGTTTTACCGGAAATAGACGCGGAAGGAAGGGGGGATTCTTTTCCGGAAGGCTGTCTTATTGAGGAGGGAGGGGGATCGAAGGAAGGTTTAACCAGCTATATGATATCAGTTCAGCATATCCTCTGCATTTTGAAGACCAACTCATGTTCTAAAAAAATTTCAAGAAAAGTTTTGGCCCGCGCTGATGAATAAAAATTGGCCATTCTCAGTACAGTATCAAATGCTTGTTTCGTATGCACTCAGAAAATATAAATAAATCTGCGAGTATTCGCTCCGAGGTCAAACTTGCATTATAAAGTACCATATTTATTTTATAAGTGTAAAAGACTGTGTTCATATTGAAACGTACTGTATGTATATCAGCCATCAGGAAACAGATAACGAATACACATTTTGATTATGTCTGCATTGCTGAAATGACTTGTTGATGCTGCTGCAAAATACAGATTGAAAGACCAGATAACTTTCTCAATTTTTTAAAGACTGTCGATAAACATGACGCTCATTTTCAGCGCAGTATTGAAGCATATTATTAACCTTAATATTAAGACTAAGGCGACTGGAACTGCTGTATATATTCAGAAACTTTATAATTTTAAACTTTTACAATGAACGTGAAAATAGGATGCCGCGGCAGATTGGGACTCTTGCTATATCTGCCGCAGAATTTGAACTTTTATTTCGACATTCACATCCTTTGATTTACTGAGTGTATCAAAGCGTATTCGTGGAAAATGTCTATACTCTATAGCAAGCCTCATACAGTATATCTGGCAAAATATTTTCCGAAAATAGAGCGACCGCGCGGACAGGATTGCTAATTTTAACAAAAAAACTATAATTATTGCCCATAATTGCAATTACTATGTGTCAATTTCACAAATCAAAGCAAAAAATACGTTCTTTTAAAAATTCTAGAAAATTGTTATTTTTAATCAAATAAAGGAAAATAAATAAAAATTACTTTTTTGAATAACTTTTTTTTAAAATATTTTTAATTAATTTTTAATGAGTGTTGTCCCTATAAAAACTGTGATTTCTCGTTGCACCCGCAATTGAACAAAAAATTGGAGCTTGGCCTTTTTTCATCATAATCTAGTCCTGCTCTGACAAGGTACGTGAGCCGGAAACTTGTCCAAGGAAAAACCGCGGGAAGCTTTCGTAATAAGGATGCGGGACATGTGCACCTCTTGTCCGACGAGTGGAGTGGACGGCGCATGAAATTTGTACTGACAGCCTTCCGGAAAAGAATCCCCCCTTCCTTCCGCGTCTATTTCCGGTAAAACGTCCGCACGTTTTTTTTTTACATTCCCAGCATTGTATTTTTTCGCAAGGCAAGTGAATGAAATTTTGCTCAATTATTGAGAAAGTTACGTAGAATTTAACCTCATTTCGTTGAGGGCAGAAAAAGAATAGATAAGTACTTTTATGAAGCAGATGAACGACGGTCATCGACTCGATTGTTGTGCAATACTCGCGACTGCTGCTGATGCAGTTATTGTCCCTCATATTGCACCTTATTTTCACCGCCCACGACGAAGAACTTCCGAATCGGGCTTGAGGAAAATTTCATCACAGTCACGATTTTCTACTCAAGAATTTTCGAGTGAATAACTTTCGCGTCAATTTGTACGACTCATTCATTCCTTTTTGAAACATGGGATTTGTTTTCGCACTAGAAAGAAAAAAAAGAGTTGACGGTGCATCAAATTATTCCAATCAGCACGGATATATGTCACATCCACCCAAGATTAAGAACCAGACCCGAAACCATACATATTCCATGTATAACCATAAAAAAATTACCTATACGAATCCGAAAGGGACCAATTTTATATTTTATTGCTTTACTGAAACGATTAATCTTCAGACTCGAACGATATTTTCTTTAAACCCATGAAATTCTTTCAACAGAATGCTCCAGCTTTATTCCCTTCAACTGAAGACACAATAAATGGTAATGCTGTGCATGTATATATAAGGGTTTTGTTCAGCTGAGCTTTGGGCTATTTTTATTCAAAAATTTTGTTACCTGGAAAAAATGCATCATTCACGCATATAATATCAAGCCGTTGTAAAATGTACAGTCAAGATATCAACATCTTCAAAATCTAACTTTTGTACCGGATATGCATTGCAAGAAGTGAAAAATCTATGCTAAATATGCCATCGAAGTTTCATAGGTGGCATTTATCTAAATTTTCTGTCCTTCATTCGCGAATTCTGGTTTAATTTTTTGGAGGAAAATAAATTAGTTTCAAGGATTTTCAGCCAGAGATAAACTCTGGCCTAAAGAATTTCAAAAAGAAAAGTACTGTACAATACTAGAATGTGAAAATGAATGAAATGTGACTAATTCACATTCTATGCATTTTTCATGCCAAGAAGCGCAGGTTACGGTTATTTTAATATCAAAAACCTTCCTCGGTACGACCGCATCATGTTATTATAAAAGAGGGTGAATCTGCTGTAGCCTGGTAATAAGTTAATTTAAACAAACCAAACATTCCCCCAAAAGAAATTATCAAAATGTTAGAGATGCGTTTATTTGTGGAAAACTTGTTTACATGTAACAGTACTGCATCGTGTATTAAATCTAACGGTTTGTTAATGCACCGTGCATAAGACTGACATATATGCGTAATTAAAAACTTGAAATATTTTCAAACCTCTCGGTTGCATCCATCGAAAGATTTCAACTTTTATGAATATGTACAATGCTGTACTATTTATGCGAAAAAATTACAAATTCCCGATTTGGCTTTATGAATTTTGAGGAAGAGCGACACACCCTTTAAAATGTCTCGTGAAAGGGAGGCGCGAAAAATAATGATCTTTTCACTATCATTTTTTTGGTAAGAAATCCAGACAGCCATAATTTAACGTACATTTTAGACATAAAATTTCTGAGAAAGTACGCATCACTTACTCTCTTTTCGAAAGTAATTTCCGAAAGTTATGCATTATTCTGGCGAAATTCTAATGAACCGCCTGCCTTTCGCTCCAATCGTAACTTGATCGCATCGAGATCATATGCGGCAATTGGGGCAATTTGAGCATTTAGTATTCCATCGAGGAAAAGGGAACCCAGCAGCTGATGATCAAGGAAATCACTCACATATTACTGTTCACGTTTTGCCACCTTCTCGGTACTGTCTATTTTAATCATATGCAGTAAATTCAGGAGACCAAAAATGCGGGTTAAATAATATATTCTGGATGCATGGAATACTCAAAATGCGAACGCAAGAAAATTGTTCAGACTTCCCAGCCACGTATATGCTTTTTTCATCGGCGGAGTAAATAATTTGTAATTTGCTCTTGTAATTCCCATTTCTCTTCTGTAATTACCACTATAATCATTTCCTAACTTGTCTAAACTTTACTCTAGCATTCTAAGCTCTTTTTAATATGGAAAGCGCAGGAGAAAGGCAAAGCTACCAGGTCTTTTGTTCAAGATTCCAAAGGTTTGAAATGCCG